AAGAAGATTCTGTTGGATAGTTTCACTATTGTGCACTTTTGCTTAGTAACTTAAGAAAAAAGCCCCATCAGTCGAGTTCGAATGATATAAAACAAGCACTGCTTGTTACTAAATATTGAAACTTAAATTTCAATCAGTTTTCTGATTTATTACGTAGAGACTGGACTTATTTTTCACACTTATGTAGAATGATTTCATCAGTAATCCTAACTAGAGAAGATTGGAAGAAATTGCATTTAAATGAAAAAGCTCTACAGTGTTTTCTAAGGAATCTGGTATACAACGTTAGCTAATTATGATAATGCAAAATGCTGCTCCTTTGAAGTCCAGTAGTTTATATTCATCAGGAAGCAGGTTCTCAAATGAAAGAATAAAAATACGTGCCTGATCGGTCGATAGGTGAAGGAGACAAGGGTACATGGTAATATACTTTCACACCCTTAAAAATTTAAATCCTATTAACAGTATATTACTCTTGTTGGTGTAGTATCCATCTCCTTTTTATCGTATGATATTGCATGAGTTGAATTTCATGCGACACATTTAGCTTTGCTGGGTGTGAAATGTTTATGATTTTAAAATCACTATTTCAATAAAATTTCAAAATCACTTCATTGGTGTGTAACAATAAATTTTCTTAAGCGAAAAGTCTAATAAAATAAAGATACTAAAGAGGAAATTAATAATTTGGAAGTAGAATAACAATTATTATTATTGTCAATCAAGGCAATGTTTAAACCACATGTAGGGATATATTTACAACAATTTCAGAACACTATCCAAATAGTTAGTTTGTGAATTTAAAAATTTAACATGTTATACAGGCAAATAGGAAAAAAGAAACCTTTCACTAGGCAATTTTTCATTAAATTAAGGCCTGATGTTTTCTCTGTATATCTTTTAGATGTATTCATGAATGGATCATTAAAGTGGTAGCTATGAACATGCCTATTCATCTTCGCTCATATCAAACTATGTGAGTTTCGTGGAAGTACATGCGACTGGGAAAGTAGTAAAATCCTAAAGAGAAGAAAACCAGGAAGTATTAAACAACTCACAACTTGGCCTATAAGTAGTACAAACTAGGGTGTCGCTTCTGATGTTACTGCTGAAACAGAGTATCGGATCCGGATGTACGGCGCGATCATTGTCTTGAAGAGTACATGCCAACAAATAGGATAAATGATATGACTGGTTAATCAGATGTCCCAAGTCATTAGCATGAGTCTGTATCTAGCAATATTACGTATCTCCATTCTGAATCTACGAACGATAATGATAAATCATGACTACTACATTGAATTTGTAATACCAACAGGTACTTATGAAAGGAATTTACTGAAGTAACTATAAATCGCTTGTTACAAGTGCATGTAAAACTATATTGGATATATGGTTGGATGTCAATGTTATAGCAATGATTGTATATTCTAGAGAATGGCAAGGAGTAAAATACTCGTTCAATTATTTATCAATCTCAAAAAGATAATAGTTTACTGTAATATTGGAAATGAGTTCCTGATTTTCATTTGGGTTTAAATTAGGAAATCCGACCATAGCTGCTACATTGATGCGGTGGTCAGGCTTGCCTGTCAGGATGACACAACCGAACGATATCGTCAGGAACACAAGTTCCTGTAGGTTCTACCATGCCGAGCAAGTCAATCGGAGAACATTGAGACTAGAAGCAGCTACTCAAGGTCTGAGGGCGAAGTTGTATTGCTGACAACTAAAGAGGGCTGTGATAGCAGTAAAGTGTTTCCCTCGAACAACCAGCATCCTCAGTGATGCTGCCTTCTAACAGGAAAGGAAGTGGTAAGAGAAGGTCGACCCTAGAAATGTCACACGTCATCTTACGTCATGGATTTCCGTCTCCGGCGTTAAGGCATTTTAAACAAAAGCAGAGCTAAAAATTTAAAGAATTTTCATAAAAAGGCCGTGAGTGAACAACCAAAAGCAGTTGTCTTTTGGACTCTGTGGTCACACTCTCAGGTCGTTCAGACCAACACTAATCTACCTTTAAGTTCAGGGTCTTGAAGAGACACTCTTCCACTATGTAGGCAACTGGGAAGTCAAGTCCGCCCTCATACTCGAAACAGCACACGAGACCAAACTGGTTTAAATTAAATCCTTCCCACACCCACTAACATCTCTCTTATCGCAATGACTCACCATTCTCACGTCTCTTTATCACCCTGTTCCGCTAATGCTAATGATTCGAGTTCACGAAACGTCATTCCTGGTCTCCTGAAACCCCGTTCTAAATTACATGTTGAAGCTTCCTTAGCTTGGACATAAGAATCTCGCACCATCGATGTATGTTGCGTCTCCAAAACGCGCATACACGATCCAAGTAGCGTCATTCATTTGGCCTCACCATGTCAACATAAAGAAGCAGCTCAATTTGATCTTCGTGTATCTGGAAGCCCTGATGCTGCTTCCTATGGCCTTGCTTGTATAGGTGTAGTATCAAGTCGTAGGGTAGAACTAGCGCTCCAAATGTTCCGACTAATCAAGGAAACTGGTTTTAGGAATCCGAATGAGACTATTTCGGAGACGGATGGTCACATTATTCATTCTCAACACGGCATATTGGATCGATTAGCAGAGCACTTAAGGAATCAGTTCAATTGGCATTCACCCACATTTCGTTGTCCATGATCACCAGTCACCCTGAGTGGCAAATCGACATAAATCCTTCGAGTGGTCCAGGTCTGGCACTTAGATTAATTGAGATCTTAGGTAGACTGACGAAATCTCAACACGTATACAGAAAGCTCGATTGGCTTTTGCCTACTTGCGTCACTTATGGCGCAGGTGAGAAATCCGTTTGCTAACCAAAGGACGAGTGTACTGTGCCGAAGTTCGCCAGCCTACTATATGCATGCGAAACATGGCCGATAAGAGTAGAAGACATTCATAGGTTACTGGTTTTCGATTACAGATGTCGTCGAAGCACCGCTCGTATATCCTGGGACAAACGAGTAAGCATTGCTATAGTTAGCAAACAAGTACTAGGTAGGGATGGCAGATCAATGGATGAGGTAGTAATGAAGTTATCTCACTGAATCATACTTCTGGAATAATATCTGAGAAGCTAATCAATAAATCAACAGCAACGTATAACTTCGTCAGTACATCAGTTCAAGTTGCCATACCACATTAGCAAAGACATGCAATTGTCAATTCCACAGTAGTCGAAGTATTAGCAGTGATCGAAGAGATTAGGGTTCAAAAATATTATTCAGAAAGTACATTCTAGTGGAATGAACTTACAAAGAGAAAGGCGATGGAGGATTCAGAGAACCCAAAGAATGGATGAATTTGTGACACTTAACACGGCTTTGAAACAAGTCGTCCAAGGTCTCTATGCACCAGCTACTATCACCTCGCAGACCCAAACCAGGTAGTCTACACTGGCCAACACGATACAGTCCACTCGTCAGTGACTTCATGTTTTGGGCGCCCCTAGCTTTCTTCCGACCTACTACTACACTACAAAACATCATCCGTCCAGGCAGATGACGGTCGGGCTTTCGTAACACACGTCCTAACCTCCTCAACTGACAGTTTCACTACTTCATCCAGTGATTTTTCATCCCGAACTGTTGGGCAGTACACCCGTCGTTTGATTAGCAAACGGATATCCCACCTACGCCACAAGTTAGAAAAAGCCAATCGAGCCCTCTGTATGCATGCCGATATTTCGTCACACACCAGCCCATCAGCACTGATGAGACTCCCGAGATAAGTGGAGCAGCCACCAATTTTCTCTATTACCGGTAACGCCTCTACTGCCGTGGAACTTGAAGTGACAATTGCGTCTCTATGCTAATGTGACATGGAAAAGTAACCGATGTTCGTACGTAAGTTCTACGTTGTAACTAACTAATCGCATAAACTCGCATTACGAATTCTTGAGGCACCTCAGTCGACTAAATTCATATGATCAGGGATAAAAATATATCACGATATTTGTAGCGTATGCGTTTCATTTTCACAGCTTTCCTGAAAATTCCGTGTATTTTGGTTTATAACTGCCACTAGATGAAACTTTTAACAGTAAGAGCTACGTAGTCTATGAAGTGAGTCAAGTTACGACACACATGAAAGCTACAATCGTTTATCAGTTCAATCCATTACATGACGCATTAGTATAAGAGGCGAGAAACATTAGAAGTACATCAGAATCAAAGAATGTTTCAATACCAGAAAGTGATGAGTAATACAGGGAGATAGGAAGTGAACGAAACCATCGCGTGACTTATTTTCAACTACAAAACTGAGTATATCCAACCAAGGAAATCTGAAGTTTCTCAAATGGATCATAAAAACAAGTAATCACAAGCGCAAGACTGCAACATAAGCACGAGTTAACACATTCGTTACTACGGTTAATCAATAAAATTTAGAGAGCTATCGTACTTTAGAATACATGCGTGGACGGATGTCACATTGACTTTTTGGGATAACACCATTTCGGTCACCATTGTCTTTACGGCGATCTTAATGAGGATGTAGCCTCTTTGTAACTATGTGCTAAGAAACTAGTACATAGTTAACTAGATAAGCTTTGGACAAGCCATATATAAATGATACTGAATTTCAAAGTACTGGATAGTGAAGGGTGTTGTTAGAGTTGATACAGGATCAAAAGCTCAAAAGCCTAGTTTCAGGCGCAACAGACTTCATAACATGCTATTCTAAGGATCAAATTACCTTAATCCCCGTTATCTCAGTCCGTCTGCGAGATACTGACTACTGTTTTATTACAGCTCGAACCCGAAATACCATGCAGTTGCTTTTACTGCCATCTAAGCGATAAGCGTGGCACAGTTAGACATAGAATAACAAAATACGACTGAGTTTTCGTGAAAGGTCAACAAACATGCATTTACTGCCCTGATTATCTGGATTAGTAATTTTAGCATAGCCCTCTGAAAAGCTCACAGTACAATGAACAAAAACTGCGATTTCAGATTGTGGGAACATTTAGTTGACCCGAAGTAATGAACAGTAATCATTATTAAAGCATATTATTTAGTTATACTGAGTATTAGAATTTTACGTATTTTGATAATACAATTTACACTACGTAAACGAAATATTGAAACAGATAAAACGGCTTTAAAATTAACAAAGAAGTAGTCATTTTTCATTTGTGGATGGTGGCTGACTATTAGGACCTCCAGCGGCACCAACGCTAGTTGAATTATCCACAGGAACCGTTGTTGCAGTTTGATCCAATTTTGTTGATATTTGGGGATTAGGATAAGCACCCGAGCTACATTGGGGCGACTGGTGATGCACATGTTGCTGTGATTGTGGGTAGGATGGGACTTGAGGAGGACCAGAATTACAATAGCCAGACCAAGAATGACCACTGTGTTGATGAGGAGTGTAGTGTTGTGGTGGTACAGAATAAAACCCACTTGGTCCTACATTACTGCCATGCGTATACGGAGGAACAGGACCACCTACGAAGAAATTCATTAGTGTTAATAAATACATTTTCAAGATTAGAAAAGTATATTCATTGTTACTGTTTTTTTAGTGGAAGTTAATTCAAACAATTAGTTCAACAAACCCTATGTCTATAACTACACTATGAATTTCATTAATTATTCACATGCCAAATTCAAATAAAACCTAGATTTGGATGTCTGATTTGGGAGTGAATGGCCACAGAACTTTAATTAACATGTAATTTAAGATCAGTTCTTCTCATTTAGATGGCAAATATACCATCAATTAGTAACTTGTACAGTTTAGCTTAATTATAACTCAGATTACTTTACTAGCCGTAAGTGTTTAGTTGGAAACCCAGAAATCGACTAGGAATGGATTTTAGCTAGACCGAATTCAGCTGGAAAATAAAGTCAGACGGGATTGGATAGTTCCAGTTGTGCTCGACAGCACTGTACCTTAGTTGTATCATGCATCAAGCTTAGAACTTCCGAATCTCGTAGAGCCTATTATCCTTATAACAATGAACCTAAATTCAAATTTATAGTAGGTTTGAGGCAGTGAAACGATTCAGTTTACTGTGTTCAATTGCATAAACACCAAAAAACAAAGTCTACCTTGGTAATAAATATTAGCTCCTTGAGACTGGTGAGATACTACCTGACCCATACCAATATCTGCAGAAGACACAGACATAGTGGAGCACGGGTGGACGTTATCAACAGATGGCAGAGTTTGTTGACTAGGAACGACTGGTTCAGTTTGCGATCCAGGCATGTAATGAGATGGATGCTGACTCTGAACATAATCTGGCGGTACTTGTTGTTGTGCAGGCCAATAACTGACAACAGAACTTGGCTGTTGCTGTTGTTGATATGGTGGTGGTGCTGGAATTGATTGAGAGGCAGCAGGCCCATCCTGAATAGAAACGGGTATAGATGAAATATTTTGATGTGGGTGAGTTTGAGGGCCGTGCTGACCAACAAGGTAATGGGGCATTGAATAAACACCGGAATTGGGAGCGAAATTTCTTGGAGGCTGCATCGGGTATCCTACCGAACCACCTGAAACTGGGTAACGAGAAGGACCATAATGTGGTGGATAGGGTGGTGGACCACTATGATGCCAGTTATTTGAGTTGTGTTGCTGAGGTGGAATATGACTTGAAGAATGTTGGTTGGGTCCTACCATCGTTGGGACAGGCTGTGAGACATGAGACTGTTGTGGCATGTGTTGAATATACACTGGTGGGGGAGGTGGATGCTCTGAAGACGGTTGCGGTGCAACTGAGTGATACTGTACGGCGTTGTAAGGAGTGTGTTGTGAAAACTGAGGTCGAGGATGAGAGTAGCCCCCAGGATTTGAAACGGAAACGGGTTGATGGTAATACGTGCCAGTGGACAAGGGGGGATTAGATTGGTTTCCCATCCCAACTTCGTAGCAGTAAGGTGTCTGAACCGGGCCACCTGGAATTTGTGCTGGGACGACGGAGTTAGCAGGGACTGGAGCCGGTTGGTACTGAGAAGTAATGAGTTGCCTCGACTGGGCTGTAGACCCTTGCTGAAATTCGGTAGATTGTCCAGGAGTCAGACCAAAGTCACCAGGTTTAGCCTGATCCATTACTTCTTCGCGAGAAACGGGTCGTTCGCGCATATCCTGATTAGTAGCATCCTTAATAGGGTCTGAATCAACCTTTTTTTTCTTTGAGGATGTTGACGAAGCCGAAGAGGCCGATGAAGTTGAAGAAGCAGATGAGGGGACTTTTTTGGTACGTCCTAAAGATACGGCATTCGGTTTACCTGAATTATTTTGTGCCGCTTGTTGTATACTAGGAACCGGACTACGTTGATGAATTAAACCAGGTGGATTTGACGGTGCCGCGGCATTAGGTAAATAATGTAGTGGAGGTGGATAGTGGTGTTGTGTATGACCGGACTGAGGGAACCTTTGCAGAGAATTTTGAGTAACTGGTTGTGTGAAAGTATTTCCTAGCCCAGGATACAAATTCGGGTTGATTTCATGTCCAACTTCTGGAGCTCCTTTCGGATGGTTTGTAGGACACAATAAACCGGTTGAAGCAGGTAACTTTTGTGAAGGTTGGGAATTTGTATCATCTCTTTTGTCCTAATAAAAATAAAAAAAATTAACGTAAATTATCATACTCAGAGAGCCTACATTTTCAAAAAAGGTCCAATAATATTTATCGAGGAAATTAATTGTCATTTGAGTTAGTCGGTCACTTACAACATAGAACTTCGTACATGAGTACACCAGTTCAGGTTGCCATACCGCATTCGCACAGAGACACAACTGTGAGTTTAAATCCCATAATGGTAAGGGTAGTACAAGTATAAGCCGTAATCAGAAAGATCAGGGTTTGAAGATGTCATTCAAGTATAATCTAGTGAAATAAATATGAGAAGAGAGGAGATGAGGAATTCAGATTAGCATATGGGGAACACAAAGAGTGGATGCACCTGAGCCATTGCAAACGATTTCGAACCATGTAATTCAAGGTGAAACTAGAGAACACTGAATAAAACAGTAAAATGTGCTGACTAGGACAATCCATAAACAAAATGTAGATATAAAACAAAGAAACGTTTATTAATGTTGAGCCACAGAACCATTGTAATACAACTCAATTAATCAAGGGGACGCATACAAAACGCAAGCAACTATTAAATAAAAGTATGCTCATGAAATATGATGTTTTTTCCGAAAATTAACAATGAAATATATTTGATATTAGTAAAATTGCTACTATTAACATATTGTAGGTAAGTTGATTAAATTAGGACATAGAAAAGGATAAAACAATTCGAATTGGGGAATAACTGGACTGGAATGAAATAATAAGGATCTTGTAAACCTAATTTAGTACACGATACCATGCTTTATAAGTAGTCAATAACAAGTCTACAGAGGACATCAAAGTGGGTATAAATAGCCAAACAATATAACCCAGATGGATATGTGGTGTAACCTGACCACTATGACTTAGTGGTTGGTGCATAAGATCGATAAAAAAAACTTCGAACATCATGCAACACAGTTCACAGATGGATAAACCGAGAATTGCTTCGATGGTACTTTACCTACGGTTATGGGAGAAATAGATATTTAGTTTTCGGGAATCATAAGTAATCTTTACTCCATTTTCATGTTTCCTAGTAGTAGACCAGTTTTATGCTTGAACATTATAAAACAGTTTTTACTTAACTTGAAAACTTAATTTCATTGAGTAGTAGATCAGCATAAACGACGTACAAGGTAATACCGATATCGGATAAGTTGAAAACAGTGAAAGTAAAGATTTCAAATGACTTTGCCAAAGTAAATACCTGGGTTATCAGTCTTTCTAACGAACGGTCACCGAACTGGATATTCGGATCATTGTGTGATGAGGCCACCTGATTTGGTCTCATGTGAACTTGCAACTGCTGTTGATGCAATAACTGACGTCTACGTTCAGACTCCAATAACTCTGCTTCCCTTTGTTGCCGCTGTTGTTGACGTTTGCGTCTGATTTCTAATTCTGCCAAATAACGAGTCTTACGCTCCTCCTCTTCGCGCTGCATATCGTACTTGGCTTTAATTATCATATCGGCAAACTGAGACTCTGTTATAACTGGTCTTGCAGTCGTTAATTTTTGATAATCTAATCGAAAACGTTCAGATTCTTCACGAATGCGCTGTACTTTCGCTTGATGTCGCGCCTTGCACCCTTCAATCTCCTGACATAAATTACGCTTATGGTTTTTCAGTTGTTCCACTTGCAAGCGCAAGGTGTTAAGACGGCTTTGTGTTATTAGTTGACCAGGATCAGGGAGTCTCGTATCGCTTAAAACTTCTTGCATAAGACGATGGTTTCTTTGGAAACGAGCGGCTGCTACATGCTTTGCAGTGAATTGGTCTTCAGTATCTATGATAAAGGGATATTAAGGTTTAAAGTAAATACATGTAGATATATATACTGCAGCAGTACGAGATCAAAAGCAAAGGAGCCAAAATAATCGTAGTACCAGTGACAACTGTAAAAACTAAATATCGAGAGCATGGTTTGAGATGGTATAAAAAGTCATGTACGAGAGAATATTGGATTTAAGATATTGAGGAATATAAAGGCTGATGTACTTCTTTGGTACACCTTTCAATGACTGCCACAGAACCTCACGATCCACTGAGTCAAATGCTGCGTTAAGGTCCTGGAAGACAACTATTGTCGGACGCCTAAATGTGTCTGCGTTCCACGACCAGTCGTAGTGTGAAAATGTGGTCTATACAGCAACGTCCAGATCTGAAACCAGTCTGGTCTTCTCCACTCTGCTCTTCACAAGCTCTAGTTAGGAGTCAAGGTATTATGGAAGACAATATTTTTGATACTATATAAGTTAAACTGATTCGTCTGTGATTGTCACAAGAGGACCTATGTTCATTCTTATAAATTGGGACAATCAGCGATCGAAGCCGTTTGAATGGGATTACGCCCCCTTCCCAAATTCTACCTAGTCAGTCAGTCAGTCAATTACAACGCGGAACTTCGCACATAAGTCTCACACTCGGATTCCCAAAACCAGTTTCCTTGATAAGTCGGAAAGGTTGTCTACCGTTGACTATCACCGCTGCCTTCCGTACTTGTACGTTCAGTGAGTTACATGAGATTCTGTGATATATTTCTGACGCTCATGATAACCAAAAATGCAATTCAAAGCTACATAGAAGCAGTAAAAGTTACCTTCTTCATTATCTTCCAGTATATATGATTCCCTCAAATCACCCTGAGGAAGTTCGTTCCCACGATCTCTTGATCTCAAAACTGATTGCCTGCGCTCCTGGTCTTGTTCTTCCATACTTTTTTCGGCTAAATAATATTGGTGAGTACAGTTAATTTACAATACCTCTTTCCTTTGCTACCAACCAAGCCTGATATGCTGGTGAACTGTGGTACTGTCGCAGTGATTCCGTGTATTGGATTTTTTCAGCATCGTATTCTTCGACATACAGTATTTTCTCGTCATCAGGAAGGTCACGCCACATTTGCCCAATAATCTTCCCAACTTCCCACAGCTTGAGATGTGGATTGGAGTTTTTAACTTGCTCCCAAACTTTGCGGCTGTAGCGCATATATGGCATTAATGGTTTTTCGGGAGGTTTCGGAGGCTTAGGGACACGCATATCACTCTGAAGGATAATTAGATAATAATCTTTGCTACCTTAGAATTCATTCTAATGGACTGCAACGAACTGCTATTATGCGGAGATTGAAGGTAGTACGACTTAGCTTCCTAAAAGTTAGAACAAAAACGTAAAAACTACTAGATTTTTCAAAATATAAAACCACATACTTTAGGTCGAAACCAATGTATGATCTATTTTTGAAATATGAAAGGAACTAGGAATCAGTAAATGATCACGGCCAACACCTACATTAAATGGGATGTTCGTGCCAAGTTTTTATACAAGGATTCTACTAGAGTAAAAAAAGCTTTTTAGAGCTGCAACGTCTAAGATACCCTATGCAACTACTCACCGCATATACACTTTCAGTCAGTTACAACGTAAAACGTACGTACATCAGGTCAAGTTGCCATATTATATTACCACGGATACTCAGTCGTCAACTCAAATCCCATAGTAATAGAGGCCGTAGAGGTATTAGCAGTAATCGGAAAGAGAATTGGGTTCGCAAATATTAGTCAGGAAGTATAATCCAATGAAACAAATTTAGAGGGAGAAATAGAGGTGTTGAGGATTTCTGAAGATTAGAATTTCAGAGAACACAAAGAGTTGACGCACCTCCCCCACTGCAGACGATTTCAAGCCTTGTCTTTCAAGGTCTCTAACCATCGGTTGCTATCGACTTGCGAACCCCGACCAGGTCTACGTCCACCAACATGACTCAATCCAGTCGTCAGTGACACCATGGATTTGTCATGTTTCGGTTTGGTACATAAACGTTACATAAAACCCACATGGTTTTATGAAGGCTATTACCGATTCACTATAATGCTGATATTAGAAATAGGTCCGCATCCCATTTGTTTTCCTATGATTGTAGAGTTTATGTGCAAAAATGATTTGGACTTTCAACCCCCTAGGTGGATTCTCCATACCGAACGACCTTGTTTTAGGGTGTTATTCGTGTTTCGTGAGAAACTCACGCAACGAGAAAGCACGTGTTCGAAAACGGGTATTTTCAGAATGAATACCTGCCATCTCGACCGCATCAAGGCTTTGGTAGTTAACCATAGGCTAAAGGGCGTCTCAGAGATTTCCTACGGTTTAGTACGAGAACTTACTTTTTTATTTCGTATAAATGATCCTCAACAGGTAACGATTTATTACCTCAAGCTTAAAAACTATCTAAAATGAGGAACAAGCACTTTGGGATCTGAATCCACCTCAAGGTGCTCTCAACATTTCAAAGTAGCTGATTCAAGACATGTTACAAACTACAAACTTTGGACAAGTTGGCCAAAGAAATTTCAACCGTCAAATTCGACCGCATATTTAGGATGGAATGTTCCCTCCCTTGCTCTAAAACAGTACATATAGTTCGAAATACATCCGTAGGCCTGATATATCACTTGTCGCTGGTTTTGCACCAGATAGTTGTCAAGCAAATACGAATAACATCTATAGTATTATAAGTTGGATCGACGTTTTTGTAGACCAAACCTTACGAATAACGAACTCCCAACAAAAAGGAAGGATAAGCACCTAAACATCAAACGTAACATATCTCAAACAAGTAATTCAATTAAGAATTATAAGAATAACAGTTAAGAAAAAAAGAAGCGAATAAACGAAGATGAAGGATATGTACCGCCACAATTAGATAGGTAACAAAATGTTTAAACAAACTATACAATGAGCTAAGATAATTACCAAGAATACCTTAAACCCGGAACTTTTTCAAACGGGAAAAAATGGTAAGTCCAGCTATATAATGAAAAATTTTCACAAGGGTTTTGACGGGCTGCTGCTCTCAAAGCCAAGGTTTGTGAGCTAATTCAATATTCCATATCTTATAGTTCAGATAAACATTTATTTCAATGTGAAAAATACGATATCCCACCACGATACATCAAAAATGTCATATTTTATTGAAAATTGGTAACATAAACAACTGAGAACGGTCTAGTAGACAGTTCATATTAATATGAAAATTTTACTGCAATATCATACAACTCCGGAGTTCTGAACTATCCACTTACTCGATTGCCATTATCAATAGACTCTTTGTGTCACCAAAGCTATGTTGATGATGGTAAGTTAGCTACTCATAGACAATGTGTTATCATATCTGAGTGAGACTTGACGGTAGCTCCAAATTGTTTCATGCGTCTATTGTAATATGTAAATTTTTAACTTTCGGTGGTCTGAAACGCTGATATTCAGGGATTCCATAACACTCATTCAATCAGCGTACGAATCGAAATTTATAGGATTTCATTATGCCTATTCAATTTACAAAATCATTGATAACAATACTAATTTCTTTGTAAATGTTCAACAACTAAGTCCCAGATTAAGGAGGTAGGCCAATTTCTAGTAGTCAATAATCAATTACATTTGTTTGTCTAATCTGTATGTTATATACATACACCTTTTGATTAACTATATGTTTTCCGTTTATTCAGTGCCATGCCGTGGTGCGAACGTGTGGTTATTGAGATTTCCATAAAAATTTAAGATATTCTTTTGAGGTCCGTTCCATTTCTCTCCAAACTCTATTCCATTATGGTTATATTAACGAGATATTTAATACTACCGTGTGCAGTTTATTTTCCATTTACACTATGTAAGCATGCCTAAAAGATATTATTATGGAGCAAATCTAACAGTATATGGTCACAAAACAATCAAATATAGTTTGAATATATACAATGATATAGGTTAGTGCAAACGCATGCCACATGTCTAAGCTATATATGCTATGAACGACATGATAAAATTTCTTGAATAAATACACACGGGAATCTGAGAAATTACAGTTTTAATGATGAAAAATTCGATGTCGGCAGAACTTCCATAAAATTCCGTATGAGTGTTCTAGCTCACTTTTCAATCCGCTCTCCGCAGTGTTTTTAAGTGCAACGGAATAGATAGACATATGTTGTAGACCTTTTCATACATTGCTGTTACAGATAAACAGAATAGTATGGCCCGGAAGTGGTTGACTGGTTCGAATCTAAAACCTTCTACTTAGTACACTTACGACATATCTGTAAATACTGATCCAACCGCACATACTATAGTGCATTCAACCGCAATCTGCAGCCAGGCATATAATATTAAACAAATACTCAAGTATATTTTAAAGTCCAGATTTGCATTTATCTCTAAGGTATGGATGCATTCACATCCCTGAACTACAATTTCTGGTAACTAGATCGTCATAACAGGAAACGTGTATTTCAAACCCCTGCGTACGAAAATAGCACATCCTAGTATCATTTGACAAAGCAGCATATCAGAGAAAAATCAGCGCTATCAGACCCAATCTCATGTATATATATTTTCTGTGTGCGAATCTGCGGAAACGAACAGAAATTTACGGTAGTGGATAAAAGGTTTCTGGATCCATTAGAAGTAAACGTATCAATATTTCGCTCAGTTTCGTTTATCCTCGTTCATTTTGAACCTAATTAAGGTAAGAGTTCTATCCAGATTGCCGTAGTCATTAACAGAAGTCCGTTAATACACCAACGTTCGGTGCATACAATTGACAGGTATTTGTTCAGAAATCAGGGCTACCAAAAACAAAGTCAGTCAGTTATAAATCCTTGTCGGCCTCATCATCATTAACTTCCTAAAGTACACAGTCACCGTAATGGAGAAACGCAATCGCACATAACAAAAGGATTACGTTTGATAGTGTTTGCTATTTTTGGGAACCCTAAAATTTGACAAATAAAGGCTAATGAAGTCTCCATTGATTCTATACTGCTTACCCTAGATAACATAGACTTCCCTGCGAGAGAGTGTGACTTCAGACAAATGTGGATAATCGACTTTTGATAACGTCGTCGGAACACACACAATGTTTATCTGACTATCGAGGACAATCTACACTGACTCAGACGAATGTACGAACTGCATATTCATACTTTTTTCGCACACGTGTAAAGTGTGTTTCTCGCAGTCGATATTTCTCAGCTTCATGCTAACTAATTCGCCATCTGCTGAAGACTTACATAACTATTTAATTTTGGGCGTAATATACCGCTTGTACATATTCATCCGTAATACAGTAGTTTGAGACCCCAAGACGTGACCATCAAGAATTAACACTGAATGTGGGTGGAACTGAGAAATGATATTCTTATGGCAAACTTTGTCAAGCAGTGTTTGGTCGTTTTACCCTACCCTATGGAGCCATGTGGTACATGACATTATCTAAAAATTGTACGACAATGACGTCAGTTTTATTGTTGACCTTCTTCCGCCTTTTCTCGTTTCCGGTGGTTCATGGAGAAAAGACACTGAATGCAAGTGCACTTCGAAGGACACTTATAATTTTAAATGCAAGCAAAACATGCATAAATAAAAGCTGGTATTGTGAATGTATGTACCGTGCTACAGTGATAAAAATAATATACGACATGTTCATTTGATCTGTTGTGAACAACCGTACACGCATAAATAGGCATATCGGAAATACCTCGACCTGTTTTAACTCCGATAACATATATGTAAGCAGACATAATTTATTTTTCGGCTTTTGATACAAGTAAAATGAGGAGGGCTGAGAAAGAGTTGTAGAATATGGGAATATGTCAAAGAGGATATGAGTTTTAAGTTGCCTCATATTCTGTAGATCTGAGAATCATAGAGATATTCTAGGGCGAGTCGTTTTAGGTTTTTCTTGGAAACCAACGCAGCTTTGTTGCAGGTGAAACTGATCAGAGACTGTATCATAGTCGAAGGAAACCTGTATCTCGTTTGCGTGTAGTTGGAGAGAAGACGATGGAGAACTGGTTTCATTTTACGTAGGTGCCTTTCAGGCTTTCGATGATGATGTTTTCATTACTTTTGTACTTGTCATTGGTATAATACTTAGGTTCACAAAGGAGAATGTTTTAGTGTCCTTTGTATACGACCTCAAGTGGTCTTAGCGCTCGAAAACGTGTACACAAAGTTGTGTGGTGGATTGGAAGAATGCACTAATTACTTAAGTTTGAGAAAAAGCAGGTTTAAGTGAATGCGTCGCGTTTGCAACCCTGCTCATGTGGGACAGACGACTCACTGATGTCTTTATTAAATCCAGGCTAGAAAGATCGTTATGCTTATAGCCTGATGCTCGTTCGCGTTCGGATGGAAACGTTTGTGAAAAGAATTGAGGATATTTTCTCAATGATGTAGAATGGACGATATCAAAATATGGACATGTTACAAAGTTAAGTCCCTCTATTTCTTCCCGTCTCTTTGACGCGATGTTTCAGAGTTGTTTCTAATAACGTGCGCTCAAGAGTGGTGTCCTCATTTTGTAGCTGAGATGGTTAAGGATAGTCAATCCCTTGGAAAATGTTCAAGGGATTTATATGAAATATGTTGTTGTAAATCTGAAGCAAACTGTGACATATAGTTGAGTTATCAGGAAATTCGAAAGAGAACTTGTTAGCGTTCTTCGAAAGATGCTAACTTCTGCGCCGGAGTCGTTGAGAGAGCGAACCTATGTTATGTAGAAGAAGGCTATGTCAACCTGAAACCGTCGCCGTTAATTCTAACCGGAGGGTGAGATTCTCGGTATGTTCGTGGCAGGGGTTTGGATGCTAGAGTCCCACTGATCTCTATAATCTGAACAGCCGACGTAGCTGTTTCGTCCACAAAACCGTTCTAAAATGAAACGAGTGTAGCCTGCCTACAGGAGGAGCTTAAATAGTAAGAGTTGTCGGAATGGTGATTTGACTAATTGCTTAACTCACCTACAGCTACATTTCTGTTGACAAGCCATCCTGCAGTTTGATGCTGTGAAAATGTTGGTCTAACATTTGATGATTACTTACTTACGACTGTCGCCTCCAATGGAGTACACTCGCTAATCAGCAGTCTCTAACCAACTCTTAACAGGGTCTCCCTTTCCACTTCCATCTTATGTCCGTCTCCATATCTCAGCTTATTCAGTTTTCTGGTCTCCCTATTTTCCCTTGTTCTTGAGGGTTCCAATAAAGGGCTTCTCTTTTGAAGCAGTAGATGCTTTCTTCAATGCTTATCCTATACAATTGTCGGTCTCCTTTGTAAGCGTGTTCCACGGTTTGGAAACATCGCTAGTAAACATACCAGGTGTAAGATACCATATGAATCACATGGTGATGACTTTTATTATAGCTGGAAATCGAACACATGGATCTCTCAAGCCTAACTCGTGAAAGTCAGACTCTGCACAGCGGAACCAGGTTTCCATGTCGTCAGACCAGGATGGTATTGATTGTAAGTTCGTGGAGCAAGTCCTAATTATAAGAAGCTAAGTCTTCTGTTATGACATAAGAATAAAATATAAATAAATATACGAGAAAAAATATAAAAGCAGAAGTCATGTCACGAAGTATTGATGGTGGTATCAGATTATACGGAATGTGAAAGTCTGTTTTTTCAAAGCATCAGAGAAGCTGGCATATTAAAATCGCTTTCCATAGCCTGACTGAATATTACTGTTTTGCTAATTGACTGCCGTTGAATAAAAAATAATTATATGGAACAGTGCGGAAACAGCTCGTATTTTGACTCTATCGCAATGGAGATATCAAGCTCTGTCATTGCCATTCTATATAGTATTTATTGACAATTATTGCTTCGGGGTTACTAATTGGCAAATTTATGTATCTTTTCATCAACCAGTGTTAAAATTTATACTGTATTTCGCATTCAAAGAGATAGTCGACTAGAAAATTAAAC